CCCCGCCGCGGCTGCTCTCCCCGCGGCCGCCGCGCTGAGCGTCGCGTCCCTCCCCCCGCCGCCGCCGCCGCCGCCGGGACCCGCTTCCGCCCCGGTCCCTCCACCCCACCCCCGGCTCGCGCTGTGAGAACTCGGGGTCCGGCGCACCCCCCGGATCCCGCCTCCGGCTCCGCGCGCGTCCTTTCCGCTCCGTGTCAGCCCGATCGAAAAAGACGCGTTTTCTGTCCTCTCACGTCCCGTTTCCCTCTTGTGTCTCTCGGTCTCCGTTTCCGCGAAGCGTCCGCCGCTCGGCCGTTCTTACGGTCAATCCCGTTTCTGATCCTCAGCCCTCAATCTGCCATTTCTTGTTGTTCTTTCCGGATCAGATATTTTTCGCAATTATAATCCATATTCACGTTTGACCCTAAATTACTTGGAAATCTTGTAAGGAAAAGAAAGCAATAAAGCTCAAATGCTTATCAAATTGAGTACCGGTCGTTCTTTCTTAGAACAATTAAAATGACTTTCTAAAATTTTATGATGAAAAGAAAGAAATAAAGGGTAAAAACTCCTTTGCCGGCTTTTCTCCTCTATGAAACCTCCTTACCATTATTTTCATTATAACCGGTTTGTTTTATATGTTTATAGTATTTACGGCGCTCGCTCTCGTTCAGCCCAATAAGTGCTGTAAACCGGTTACTCCATTTCCTTTTCATCTCACTTAAAAACAAATGGAAAAATACATGCAGCGCTTTAAAATTTATTAGTTGTTTCCTGTCATGTTTTCCTTGTCTTGGTGTTTTTATATTGAAATCAATTATTACTTTAGATCATTTCTGGTGAAATGTGAACTGTAAATAATATAAAATAACTGCAGTTTTTACAACATCAGTTTTCACAGGGTGTTCCGGAGTTGCTGTCATGAGAACACAGTGACAGCGTGGCCCCCGGAGTGAGATTCCAGGAGCAAACGCCAGCTCTCCCCAAGTTTTGACCTCAGTTTCTTCATCCATAAAACAGAGAATTAAACCTGTAAGATGGTGATGAGAACATTTCCTACCTTGGGGCAGTGCGAGGACTGAAAGTGGCGATACAGGGATCTCGTTCCGTGATGCCCATGCCAAGATCTAGTAAATGTTCACTGTCACTGTTACTGGTTAACACAAAGGGTGCTTGTTGAAAGCAACATTCCTCCGTTGGTTCTGATTCTCTCCTGTCAGGATTCTCCACTGGCCTTGGAGCTTCTGGAAGCCCCGCTCCAGGCTCTGCCCACAGGCCCTGCCCGGTGCAGCAGGGACAGGGGGTCACAGTAGCTCTCAGACGCCAGGACACGTTGGCATACAGTGTGCCTGCGGTTGCAGATTGGACCAGCTCTTTCCCACTGAGTAGTCACCCTTTGAAAGTTGCTCTTACACGTCTTTGTCAGGAGTAATTTCTAGTTGTTTTGTTTTGGTTTTTGTATTTCAAAATTCTGACAACAAAGGTAATTTTAAGTGAAAAACCTTAAAAACCCCAAAACCGTAGCATTTCAAGTCTTCAGTAGAACAGATACATAATTCTCAAAAAGTGATGGGTCATCATCATTCTAAAAGTTAGATGGGAATATTTTTGAAAAGTTGAGACCCAGGCCTTTCAAATTGCAACTTATCTTTGTGACACACAGCCCCCTCCAATGGCTTTTTTGTTATTGTTCATAATAACTCTGCTTCTGGAGTCTGCTTTGCACTTCATGATCTGTGTAAGATTGCACTTTAGAATAAAACTTCACTGTAATCCAGAGAGCATAACGGGGCAGATCCATCAGTACACACATCTACGGAGAAACATGTTTTCCTCTGTTAAAAATAAAAACCTTGGAAATGTACTGTTTTTATTTCCATGGTCCATTTAGCTGCTTTTCCTCCTTGCAACAATGGAGCAAGATACAAACACTTAACAGCTGGAAAATCCGGGCTAAGTACAATAGATGCATTTCTGAAGAGCTGTTAAAGTGAAAGTAAAGTGTCTGTAGGGTTTTGTAAAAGAATCCATTATCTTCCTGGAAACACCAAGCTGACAACTTGACAGTGGGAACTGCCATAAAGGCGACAGGGACTGATGAGAGGCTTGAATGTGTGTTAAGCGGCACGCGGACAGAGTGGCTAAGCGGGGAACTGCTGTGTGTGTGTGTGTCATCGTTTTAGAAGGTTTTGTTAGCTGAGGTGTTGGCAGGAAGCTTCTGTTGCCTAATGAGTTCTTTCTGTGTCCGTTCTCCCATTCTGTCTGTCCTGCAGGCCCTGGGAGGTTGTCCAAAGCACAACTGCTTGCGTTGCTACATAGCTCAGAAACTTGCAGTTACTTAGAGAAGTCCAGATCCCTTTGATAGTCAACGTTCTCGAGATCTGGCTTCAAGTCACCTTTCTTGGCTGCTGCCTGCCAGCCTCCCTATCCATTTCTCTGTTTTGGCTTTTTATTCTCCAATGTGTCCCATAGACTGTCACCGTTTCTGTGACTGGTGTTTTCCCCTTGCCGCCTCATTCACTGAAGATCTAACTATGCTTGAAGGCCAAGCTCAAGTCCCAGGTTCCCCTCAGAGGTTTCTCCGATGACTTGTTTTTCCTATGAATTTCTTCAAGTCATTCTCTGTACTACTGTTGGCACTCACGTCACAAAATTGCGCTTATGTCAGTGTTTTTATATGTTTTAAATATATATTATATTGTGTGAGAGGTTTCTCATTTGTTTTGCTGTTGTTTTTCAGTTCCCTAGCTAGATGGTGCATGCACCGTTTGGCAAGGGGCACGCAGCATAATAATGTGTTCTGTCTTCTTGAATGCCTGTCACGGAAGTCTCCCTGTGTTTGGTCTATTTAACGATACTTTGCACAGTTGCCATTTGATTTTTTTTTTAAGTCACAGAATTCTTAATCCACAGTTTTAGCATGATATTGAGAGATACTTTGACAGTCATCAGAGATGGTCCTAACATATTTTTCTCTTACATGTTTTTCATGATACTACATTTGCCATTTAAGTGTCATCTGTTACATCATGGGACTTCTCTTGTGTGTGTTCTGTGGCCAATATCTGAAGCTTCATGAAAATCAGAAAATCGGGTGCATCCTGTTGGAGACAGCCTTAGATAAGTCTGTGGACTGGCTGGACATGAGTGGTGGCTTTTGCATTTTAGGGTGATCAGATTGTGAAACTAACCTGTGAGATGAGCCTTGTCAAAATAGTTTAAAGGAATGCTTTTTAAGTCTCTTCTAAAGCAATAATTTAAATTAATCAATATGTGATTGAAAAAGATGCTTTCTGATTATAAATTAAGTTTAGCAAGGCTTTGAGATCATCTTGGTACAAAGGAAAATGACTTCATCATTCATTTTATATATCAGTTTGGGAGCTGAGCTCTTGTCACTAAGCCAGGAATATTGCTGAAGGCTTATAATTTCCTTCTGAAAAACTTTTTGTTTCTTCTAAGCCAGTATAAATGCCTACTTAAATAACCTTCTTTGTTAGTTATACTAAACATAGTTGGGAGTTGGCATTTGAATGCCTTCATCTCTCGTGTACTCTGTAATATAAATAGTCCACATTAGTACAACACCCCAAGTCCACTTTGCACATGAGATTAATGTAACACAGTACTCGACTGAAACTATTTTTGGTTGAGTTATCAGCTACCATTTTGTAGGTAAATTCAATGTATACTTTTCAGTTTTTAGATTACTGTCTTCTTTATAACATCTTCTGCCTCACCCGGGAAGAGCACAATGATCACAATACCAACATGGGCCAGTGAAGTCATGTCCTCCACAACTAGACTGAAGAACAAAAGGATAGCAACTTTGTCGATCATTTCTTTCTTAAAATACATTGTTTTCTTGACTTTCTGCTTCCCCTAGCTCTGCATGTCTTCCTTTTCAGTTTCCTTTCTTGGCGCGTCTTCATCTGCTTGTCCCTAAATGACTGCCTGTGGCCCTTAGAGTTTTCCCCTCGGCTCTCTTTTCCTACTCCATATCCTCCGTCTGTAATACCTCTTTCCATGGCCTTGATAACTGTGTAAAAGTGCTGATGGTTTTCCTACCTTGTTCTCCGGCCTGACTCTGCCTCCTGGACCGTGGGTCTGTCTGTGCATGCGTTCATTCAGTGTTACCGAGCTCCTGCTATGTGCCTGACTGGCACTGGTCAGGTAATTGGGGTACAGAGTTGAACAAGACATTGCATTTTCTTGGAGGAAGACAGATACACTTATTACTGTGAGGACACCAGGTGATGGCATAGAGATCATGGACGGGCAGACGAGCAGTCAGGGAGCTGACGGGACCCGAGGCCAGGGAAGCCTTTCTGGGGCTTTGACACTGCATCAGTGATGTGAACACCTGAGGCAGCTCTTAGCCCTCGCAGTGCTTGAGAATTACTGGTGGGCCTTTAAAAAAAAAAAGTAGCCATCACCGCGAATACTCATATGTAATCGGTCTGGGATGGTCTGAGCACTTGTGTTTTCTAAACCCTCCCAAGACTTAATGCGCAGCAGGGGTTGAGAACTGCTGATCAAAGGAAGGTGATTTCAGGCAATGAGGAGCTGGTGTTTGAGGTCAGGATGTCACCCGTTTGTAAGCTTCATGAAAGTAACAGTGCATGTTTCATAATTTTTAGGTCGTACGTAAGGTTTATACCTGGAGCCTAGTACAGTGCCTGCCCCCAGAAGCATAGCTAACCTGACAGGCATGTCCCAAACTGAAACCAGCGCCTCTTTGTTCCTTAACCGCAGTCATGTGCCCAAAATCCAAATCGGGTTATTGCTTCGATTCCCCTCGCACACCCAGCCAGCCCGGCTCTGGCCCTTGGCCGTGGTCCTCTTGGGACCTTGTAGCCAGCTTCCCTTGGAGGCAGCGAGTGGGAAGGCACCAGCGCACGCACACGGCGGGCGCCCCTTGCCTCCTGTTGCTGCTGTTGCCTCCGCCTCCTGAACATTTCTGACTTGTCTCTTCCCACCGTTCCTGTTGCAGCTGTGCTCGTCACCTTGTAAAGGCCTGTCAGTGGTCAGTGGCCTCCAGTGCTGACTTTTTTCTGCTGCCAGGTGCACCCCTCTCTGTTCTGCACAGTGTAACCCTAGTTTCTTTGTCAGGCTGCGTGTAATCGGATCATGTACCTGTGAAGCTCCTTTCTCGGCCCTCCAGCTCTTTGACTCGATCTCTCCCTGAAGCGCCCCCTTCTTCTAGCCCCCTCCCCACCCCCCAGCTGATGCTGTGAGCTTCTGCGTGACTCAGCCACACAGCTGATGGACAGAAACGTGTTTCATGCCGCGTTGCTTCTCATTTCTGTTTGGCGAAAGTGCTCCCTGTCCTCGGTCACTCCCCCACCCCACGTGTCCTTCCTTCAGGCGCGAGCGGAGATGTCACCTCTGGTGAGCTCACAGCGTATGCAGCGTTGGGCTAGTGAATCCAGCCACCCTCACCCGGCTCGTCTCTGGTACTACGGAGGCCCTGTGTTACCCTCACTGCCCTACCACCAAGCCTGGTCAACATTTAAGGCCCATGTGGACATTTAAATACTGAGTGAAAACTTTATTCTTTTAAGTTAATGAAGAAATGTTCTAAGTGAAAAGAAACTTGTTTATTATACATATATTTTTAAACATAAGTTAACTTTTTTATAGGAGAACTATGCCATTTTTGGGTCAGGATTGGAGATCTCCTGGATGGAGTTGGATTAAAACAGAAGATGGCTGGAAAAGGTGTGAGTCCAGGAGTCAGGAGCTGGAAAAAGAGAGTAACCAGCGGAACCCGGATCACAGCATGTAAGTTACTGCCGAGCAGAGCCAGGTCATGGAAGAGCCTGCCTAACCTTTAGGTCTTACCTATTTTTCAAGCTCTGTGACTTGAAATTTGGCTGAGAATTGCACACACATGAGGCTGGTGTGAGGGCGCAAGTTGTTCAGCTGAAGACTGAGCCCAGTGAATTTCCTGGTGGCCACACAGAGAAGCTGCTTTTGTCACTGATTCAGGGCTCGTTGCCGGACATTCATAGAAGCCAACATGTGGCATTGGGTTTGGAGAAAGGCCCACCAGCAAGGAGACGGGGCATGGCTCCAAGCTCTCCTCATGCTGGGTTTGGGGTCGGGGGGACAGTGCCCCAGGCTGGCATGCGGAGGTGCTGGAGTGGAGTGGTTTTGGAATCTGACCACTTACATTAAGAGATACATGGCCAGGAGCGTCAGGGCCCCATCTTCCCAGACAGCAGTCCCTTTGCTTCTGAAATGGTTCCGGAGTTCACGTTTCGGTCAGGCCCAGTCCTTGAATTCCACAGCAGGCGGAGGTCAGAGTTCTCTCCACGCTTTGGCTGCCTGACTCATAGGTTTGCTCTGTTGTCTCTGAAAGGCAATTCAGCATCTCATTAGAAACAGGATGGGACCAGTTTGAGCTGGTTATGCGGTTACACTTTCTTCTTTTTAGTTAAAGCATTTAATCTTTACAATCATCTGAGATATAGGTACAGTAAAATATTGGATTGCGAGTAACATGGTTTGTGAGTGTTCTGCATGATGAGCAGACATTTCAAATACATTTTAACGTGGTAAATGAGCGATGTCCTGCAATATGAGTAGTTTGTTTCCAGAACGAACTGTGCTCACAAACCAAGGTATTACTGTATTATTATTAAACCCATATTATAGCTGAGGAAATTGAAGATACAGTTTTGGCAGTATGTGTCAAAGACCCATAATAACAGTGGCTTACATAAGACAAATAAATCTCTCTTATTTTGTTTTTATTTTTATCTTTTTTTTAGTTTCAGGTGTACAAAACAACATAATGATTAGACATTTACACCCCTCACAAAGTGATAACCCCCAAGTCTACTACCCCTGTGACATTGTACAGAGTGATTACAATACCACTGGCGATATTCCCTATGCTGTACTTCACATCCTATGACCGTGTGTACAGAGGGTGCCAAAAAAATGTATACACATTTTAAGAAAGGAAAAAAACTGTATTAAAATAGTAATACTCAATATATACTGATAACAAAAGATGAATACAAGTCACATTTGACCTGCAATTACAAGAGGTGCTCCAAGTGGCTCCCAACAGCGTAATTTTAATACACTTGATCCCGTTTGATCCCGGATCAAATCCCACTTGATTGTGATGTGTGGTCCTTTTCGTGTGTTGCTGAATTCAGTTTGCTAATACATTGTTGAGGATGATCACATCTATGTTCATCAGGGATAATGCATGTAATTTGTGTGTGTGTGTGTGTGTGTGTGTATGTGTGTGTGTACTTGTCTGGTTTTGGTTTCAGGATAGTACTGGCCTGGTAAAATGAGTTCAGAAATGTTTACGTTTCTAATTTTTGGAAGAGTTTGAGAAGGATTGATAGTAATTCTTCTTTAGATGTTTGACAGAATTAATTAGTGAAGCCATCGGGTCCTGTATGTTTGTTTGTTGGGAGGTTGTTGGTTACTGATTTAGTCTTCTTACTCTTACAGTAATCAGCCTGTTCAGATTTTCCCCTCATGATTCAGTGTTGGTAGGTTGTATGTTTCTGGAACTTGGCTGTTTGTTCTAGCTTGTCCAATTTGTTGGCATGTAATTTTTCATATTAGTTTCTTATGATCCTTTGTATTTCGGTGGTATGAGTTGTAACATCTCCTTCATTTATGATATTATGAGTCTTCTTTTCTTGGTGAGTCTAGCTAAATGTTTGTCAATTTTGTTTATGTTTAAAAAAACAGTTCTTGGAGGGCCAGCCGAGTGGCTCAGTCGGTTAAGAGCTCACTCAAGAATGCGAGCTGTGAGCCACAGGGTCACCGGTTCGATTCCTGGCCTGAGCTGAGCTGCTGCTGAGCTGCCAACAGGTGGCAGGATGGCTCAGCTAAGAAACAAAACAAAACAGTTCTTGGTTCATTGATCTTTTCTATTGTTATTTTTAGTCTCTATTTCATTTATTTCTGCTCTGATCTTTACTTCCTTTTTACTACTAACTTTGAGCTTTGTTCTTTTTCTAGCTCCTTGAGGTATGAATTTAGGCTGTTTATTTGAGACCTTTCTTGTTTCTTGAGGTAGGCACTTATCACTGTGACCCTCCTTTTTAGAGCTGCTTTTGCTGCATTGTAAGTTTTGGTGTATTTCCATTGTCCTTTGTCTCAGGTAATTTTTTTATTTCTCTTCTGATTTCCTTTTTGACACATTGGTTGTTCAGTAGCATGTTGTTTAATCTCCACATAGTTGTGATATTTCCAGTTTTAGCCTTGTGGTTGATTTCTAGTTCATACCATCGTGGTCAGAAAAGGTGCTTGATGTGATTTCAAACTTTTTAAAGACTTGTTTTGTGGCGTAACATATGATCCATCCTGGATAATGCTCCATGTGCAGCTTGAGAAGAGTGTGTATTCTCTTGCTTTTGGATGGAAAATTCTGTACATGTCTGTGAAGTCCATCTGGTCTAACATGTCATTTAATGCCAGTGTTTCCATATTGATCTTCTGTATGGATGTTCTGTCTGTCGATTAAAGTGGGCTGTTAATGTTCCCTACTATTATTGTATTGCTGTCTATTTCTCTCTCTAGTTCTGTTAATATTTCTTCTACTTATTTAGCATCTCCTATGTTGGATGCATAAATATTTACAGATGTTATATCCTCTTGTTGCATTGACCTTACATAATGACCTTCTTTGTCTCTTATTACAGTCTTTGTTTTAAAGCCTATTTTGTCTATTTTTTTTTTTAAAGATTTTTATTGGGGAATTGGGGGGATGGGAACAATGCTGGGGAATTGGGGGAAGGGGAACAGACAAGTGGCCCTCATATGTGGGATCCGAACCGGGGCCCTCTGGCATCCCAAGCGAGTTCTTAACCATCGCGCCACTCGGCCGGCCCTATTTTGTCTATTTTTGATGTAATCATAGCTACCCCAACTTTCTTTGGGTTTCCATTTTGCATGAAGTATCTTTTTCCATCCCATCACTTTCATTGTGTGTGTGTGTGTGTGTGTGTGTGTGTCCTTAAATCTGAGTGGGTCTCTTATAAGCACCATACAAATTGGTCTTATTTTTTTATCCATTCATCTACTGTATGTCTTTTGATTGGAGAATTTAGTCTATTTACATTTAAAGTAATTATTGATAGGTATGTACTTATTGCCATTTTGTTCTTTGATTTCTGGCTGTTTTGTAATTTCTTTGCTCCTTCTCTTCCTTTCATGATTTTATTTAGTGGTATGCTTGGATCCCTTTCTTTTTATCTTTTGTGTATCTTTTGGTTTTTCTTAGTGTTTACCACAAGGCTTTATTAAAACAACTTACAACAGTCTATTTTAAGTTGACAACCACTTAAATGTGAATGTACTCTGAAGCTCTACATGTCCCCCCATGTTTTATGTTTCTTTATTTCACAGTTTACATCTTTTTATCTTGCATATCCATTAACAGATTTCTGTAGTTGTTGTTACTGCTCTTGTCTTTTAACCTTCATACTGGCTTTATGAGTGATGAACCCACCACCTTTACAACATTTCATTATCCACATTTTACTATTTATTTATTTATTTATTAAAAATGTGGAACGCTTCACGAATTTGCATGTCATCCTTGCGCAGGGGCCATGCTAATCTCTGTATTGTTCTAATTTTAGTATATGTGCTGCCGAAGTGAGCACGAATTCTACTGTTTATTTACTTTTACCAGTGAGATTTATACTTTAATGTTTTCTTGGTACTATTTAGCACCCTTTCCTTTCAGCTTAAAGAAGTCCGTTTAGCATTTCTTGGAAGGCTGGTCTAGTGGCAATGAACTCCTTTAGATTTTGCTTCTCAGGAAAATTCATTATCTTTCCTTGGGTTCTGCAGGACGACTCTACTGGGTAGAGTATTCTTGGGTGGCAGTTTGTTTTACATTTTGAATACATGGAACGCCCTTCAGGCCTGCTTAAATAACATTTTGACATACTTTATCACATTAACTTTTTTTTTTTTTTAAAGATTTTTATTGGGGGATTGGGGCATGGGAACAGTGCTGGGGAATTGGGGGAAGGGGAACAGACAAGTTGGTGTCCTTTTGTTCTTCAGTCTAGCTGTGGAGGACATTACTTCACTGGCCCAAGTAGACACCATCATTGCTCTCTTCCAGGGCGAGGCAGATCAGTCGCCGGCTTCTGGACGGCCGCTCACTGCGGCTGCTGGCCGCTCACGCTGGCTGCTGGCTACACACGGTAG